CTCGCGAGGATCGCGGCCCCGTAGGGAGCTCCACCAAAGGCGCCGGCGGCAAGGTTCGCACGGCGGCCTCGGGCCATTTTGGCACACCCCTGACGAGGATCGTGACCCCGCAAAAGTCCCACCGAAGGCCCCGGTGGCAGGGTTCGCATGGCGGCCTCGGGCCTTTTCGGCGCCCCTCACGAAGATCGCGCCCCGTAGGGAACTCCACCGAAGGCGCCAGTGGCAGGGTTCGCGCGGCGGCCTCGGGCCACTTCGGAACACCCCTCAAGGGGATCGCGGCCCCACAGGGAGCTCCACCGAAGGCGCCAGCGGCAGGGTTCGCGAGGCGACTTCGGGCCATGTCGGCACACCCCTCACGAGGATCGTGGCCCCGTAGGGAATTCCGCCGAAGGTCCCAATGGCAGGGTTCGCACGGCGGCCTCGGGCCGTTTCGGCTCACCCCTCGCGAGGATCGCGGCCCCGTAGGGAGCTTCATCGAAGGCGCCATCGGCAGGGTTCGCATGGCGGCCTCGGGCCGTATCGGCACACCCCTCACGATAATCGTGGCCTCACAGGAGCTCCACCGAAGGCGCAAGCGGCAGGGTTCGCATGGCGGCCCCGGGCAATTGCGGCACGCCCCATCCCGAGGATCGTGGCCCCATAGTTGTGTTGCTTCAACAACCGCGCCTGGGCGTCGTACTCCGCCTTGTCGACGTGCAACGCCACCTCTTCCCTCATGGCTCTCCAAGCCCTCTCTTGCTTCTGCCCCTCGGTCAAAGGGACGCCGTCCTTGTCGTCGTCGGCGCCCGCGAAGACAGCCACGAACGTGTTCCTGAGCATGTCGGGTTCCGGCGGGAAGCCGTGGCCACATACGGAGCGCGGGCGACGATGGTATTCACAATTGCGGTATTCACAACTACAACTGCATATGGTTGGGTCTTTCGCCAGGCAAATTTTCAAGTCATCCACTGATAAGGTCTGTTCAGGTGTAGTGTAGATCTCGCCTCAGCGCCGCGCACATTCGCCTTACGAGTTCACATCAATTTCAAGAGTTTCGATGGCTGGCGTCCCAAGGTTCCGGCACCGTGTAAGAGTGCCACGGCGCAACAGTTACATTTATTCGCGGTGGTGAAGCCCCAGGAATGGTGTTCAAGCACGATTCAAGATCACCAGTACGCAACAACAAATCGGATTCGCGGCGTTGGAATCCCAGGAATGAGGTTATGGCGCTGTTCAAGATGTTCAAACGCCTGTCTTCCAACGGGGCGCTTCCCTCAGTGACAGTGAACCCTTGCAGGGGCCTATGAAGAGGATGCGTTGAGGGGGGTTGAATGCAACATCGTCGATGAGTCGTGGGTTTGCACTGGCTCCCATCCCCGTTATCATTTTCATCATGTTGTCATCGGCTGGACCATAGGAACGAAACATAAGGAACGATATCCCTGTTTTTCAAAGAATAAAGCACAAAGAACGATACGTAATAGATAACGCGTAGGGAACGATCCATAACGCATACAAGCCTAAGGGACGACCGAGCCCCTTTTGAAAAGTACGCGTTCCTTATTCAAGCCACTCGCTGTAGGCTGGCTCTTCTGCGCGGCTGCAGCCACTTCGCGGCGCCGCCGCCTGCCACAGAGGAAACCCCCAGAGCGGAGAGAGGCGCGCCTTTGTGCGGGCAGGTGCGGCAAAGGCGCACCACGGCGTCGTGGCCGCCGACAGGGGAAGACGAAGAGGCTGGCCAAGACTCTGTTTGAGCAGGGACCGACCGTCCCGGCATTCCGATTGGCCTACCAATACATTTTCTTAGAACCCAGAAATGCTGTAAGAACAAAAGCAAACTTCTTAAAACATAAACCCGATGTGTTGAAACAAGACAGTCCCAGCCAGACATGTTCTATGAACATTTCGCGCAAACCACAAAAGGTTTTTAGAACATTCCTTGAGAGGCCTGTAGGCGAGCCAGGACCCCTCGCCACTGCTTGATCTGCGCAAAACCACGCCATCCGCAGGCTTCAGGACGAGATCCAGAGGCTGCGGGAGGAGAAAGCGCAGTGCCAGGCCCAGCTGGACGAGGCAGAGGCCCAGGCGAAGGTGCAGCACCCACGAGGACCGCGCGGCGACGCCGTGCCCTTCGTGACAAACGGCATGGTACGGACGTTCATCAAGACGTTCGTCTGCGCGCAGACAACCGAGGATCCGTGGTGGGGTTGGCAGTGGATGCGTGCCTACGTGGAGGAGGGCAGCGGTGCGGGCGGGCAGGACGGGCAGCGGCAGCACCCAAAGAGTGAGCGCGGGAACGACGGGCAGTGGCAGCCTCGGGTGGACGACGGACACGGCAGTGGCAACTGCAAGAAGGAGCGGCCTGTGCGGGCGAGACGGACGGGCAGTGGCAGCGCGAGGAGAGAGCGCGCGTGCAGGAAGAGCAGTGGCAGCAAGAGGCGAAGCGAGAGGCAGACGCCATCAGCTTCAGCGCTGGGTACGGAGAACGCAAGAAGTGCGAGAAGGCTGCATCGGTGGCAGCGACGCTGGAGCACAATAGCCTTCTTGCTGACCCTAGCTTTAGCAGCCGCGCGTGCGAAGAGTGAGGAGCCCCAGTCCGAGACACCCAGCGGGATGTGGAAGGCGACGGTAGAGCCCGACACCATCAGCTACCGCACGGGGATCAGGGCATGTGGGCAAGCTCAAGCGGACAGCGCGGACGAGTAGTGGCAAGCAGACGGGCACTGGCAGCCCCAAGCGGACGGGCAGTGGCAGCCTCAGGCGTGCGAGAAGGATGGGCAGTGGCAACACCACGAGAGCCGTTCGTGCGAGAAACGGGCAGTGGCAGCCCCAAGAGGACTGGCAGCGGGCGTGCGAGAAGGTTGGGCAGTGGCAGCGCCAAGAGGGCGAAGCGACAAAGGCGAAGCTGTAGCCCAACTCCGACTCAGCTGGCTACCACTACCCCGTGGAGGCGAGGAACGAGCCAAACGCCATCAGCTACGGCGACGACAGCACTAGCAGGGCCATGTGGAAGGCTCGAGCAGTGATCGCAGCGACGTGGCTGGCAGGAGGCGAAACGAGGAAGCCCGATGCCATCATCTACAGCGCTGGGAGCAGCGCGCGCGAGCAGCTGCAGCGGAAGACGGAGGCGAAGCCCAACGTCTTCAGCTACAGCACACAGAGCGGTGCAGATATCGACACCTGTAGCGCGAGGGAGCAGAACCGAGAAGAGTAGAGCGGCTTCCCACCACGAGAAGTGGCTGGCCAAGCGGGCTTACCCCCACGACGTCATGTAGCAGGTCGCCTTGGTGTTCTCACTATATTTGGCTTGCTATGTTGTGGGTTGGTTGGTTTGTCTTCAACTGTATTACGCTCCAGTCTCTAACCTACGATCGGCTGTTACTGATGTACACACCATCATCTTCCTGAAGGAGATGGGCGACGAGATGGCCGCCGCCCTGGCGGACGATGCGTGCGAGAAGGGCGGGCAGTGGCAGCTTCCAAGTGCCAAGTAATGAGAATTGCGCGCGCGAGAACAACGGACAGTGGCAACTGTGCGGGACGGACGGGCAATGGCAGCTTCTCGAGGACGGGAACTGGGCATGCGAGAAAAATTAGAAGTGGCAGCCTCAAGAAGGCCAGGGCCGTGCGTGCGAGAGAGCCGGGCAGTGGCAGCCGCAAGAAGCCGAGCAGTGGTCGTGCGAAGAGGGCGCGCAGTGGCGGCGCCAAGAGGGCGCAAGGGCGGAGACGAAGCTGGAGTCCAACTCCTACTCAGCTAGCTACCACTACCCCGTGGAGGCGAAGAGCTACACCATATCGAGTGGTGCAGAGACCGAGACCTGCAGCGCGAGGGAGCAGAGCCGAGAGAAGAGTAAAGCGGCTTCCCACCACGAGAAGTGGCTGACCAAGCGGATTGGGCGAAAGGCGAAGCGGGAGCCCAATTCCTACCTAGACGGCTACTCCGAGGCGGGGGCAAAAACCAGAGTCGGCAAGGCACCGCCAACACTCGACGAAAGGTTGTACGGCCCTGCCGGGTGACGCTGGTGTGGGCGCGGGAGAACACCGTGCTCACGGCCACCAGGGCTGACGCGCGCGGACCGAGAGCACGCGTAGTCGCAGCCCGAAAGGTCCCCCAAAGGTCATCACCATCATCCTCATTATCGTCATCATCATCCCTCCTCCTGCTCCTCCTCCTCCTCCTCCTCCAACTCCTCATCCCTGCTCCCCAGCATCATCACCATCACCATCACAATCACCACCATCACCACCACCATCACCATCACCGCCATCACCATCATCACAATCATCACCATCACAATCGCCATCACGATCACTATCACCAACATCACCGCCATCACAAGTACTATCACCACCATCACCACCAACACCACCATCACCATCAGCACCACAGTCATCATCACCATCACCACCATCGACACCATCGACGCCATCGCTACTCCCATCATCATCACCACCGCCACCTCCACCACCACCATCACCATCAAGACCAGCATCATCATCATCATCATCATCATCAGCAGCATTACCATCACAAACCTCACCATCAGCATCATCATAAGCTCCATGCTCACAGTCTCATCATCATCAGCAGCATCATCACCATCATCAGCATAACTAGCATTATCATCATCTGACTCATCAGCGTCATCAGCAGCATATTCGTCATAATCAGTAGTATCATCAATATCATCATTACGTTCACAATCATAAATATCATCGTCATCAGCATCATCAGCATATTCGGCATCGCCATCATCAGCATATTTAGAAGCATCACACCCATCATTATCAGCATCAGCATCATCGTCATCAGCCTCATTATCATCATCATCAGCATCATCATCATCAGCATTATCATTGGCATCGTCATCGAAGTCATCATCAACAACACCAGCATCGTCTATACCTTCATACCCATGATCATCACCATCATCATCGCCATCATCATCATCACCATCATCATCACAATCATTATCACCATCATCCCTCCTCCTCCCTCCCTCTTCCTCATCCATCGGATCCTGCATCGCCTGCGCGCGCGCGCTCTCCGCCGCCGACGGCGGCACCGCCGGCAACGGCGCGGGCACGCCGGGCCCCGCGGCGAAGGTGAACGCAGCCATCGCGCGCCGCCACAGCCGCCCGGGGGGCGCGCGGGGCGCCCGGCGGCTCGCGGGCCCCACTGGAGGCAACAAGCTCCTGCCCACTGGAGGCCCACAGAGGAACAAAGAAAAACTGGAGGCAACAAGCTCCTGCCCACTGGAGGCAACAAGTTCCTGCCCTGCCCACTAGAGGCCCCACTGGAGGCCCACAAAGGAGCGACAAAAACTGCATGGCAATAATCTTGTGACATCTCGCGCGGATTCAATGGATCTGAGCCGGACCCCCCTCCCTGAAGCGCCTCCGGCGCCAGGGGCGGCGCCGGAGGCGCCGCCAGGGAGTTCCAGCGCAGATCCAAGACATCCGCGCGGACCGCCAACAGTTTCTGTTCATGCGGTTTGTTGCTCTTCGGTTCTTAACCACGTCTCGACCTAAACACATCGTTGTAACTGTTCGTTATGTTTTCGTGTTTCCTCGGCCCGTCTTCGGTCCGCCTTGGCCGCAGAACGGGGCTAAAACGAACGCGGTCCACGGAATCGCCCAAAACAACGTTTAGGCCGAGACCTGTGTTTCCACTCCCTGAAGGCAGCAAGGTGTCACTGGAGGCAGGCAGCCATGGCGACGAGGGCTCTTCAGGACGACTCTGACTGGGGAGACAACGTCTCGAGATACCAGGAGGGACTTCAGAACTCCTGCCAGTACACTGTGCTGTCTGACTGCCTCTCATGCTAGCCGAACACATACGCATACAGCCATCGTGCTACCACAGATAGCTGAATCCACCGACCCAGTCGGCGCATGTGAGAGGCTCTTCGACGCGAACCCAGTCCAACCCAAACTGACGTACGCCAGCCTCCTTTGAATTTTCATCGTCGCCAGGGAGATCGAATAAACATGGGGGATCGAGCAATGTCGTAATTATACGTCGAAAGAAAAGATTGTGTTTGTCCCTATCACGTTTACGGTCTGGCGCAATACCCACGAAGAGCTGCAGAGCATTTGCAAAATGCACCAGGCAGGCTCACAGTGACGCGAGTCCAGATGGAAGATTTGGAGGTTGAGAGGGAGGAGGAGGAGGAGGAGGAGGAGGACCCAAACAAGAAGGAACGTCAACGGTACGGAATGCGAGCAGCCTGCACGGCACGGAAGATACGGATCCGACACGCCCAACGGCGGCAAAACTCGAATCCGACCCGAGCCGAGCAGGGCTTACGAGCTCATCGAAGACTGCCAAGACTTGGCCTGTACGAGGGAGGGAGGAAGAAAAGGATAGGGAGGACACGGAGGAGGATGCAGATGACGAGGAGGAGGAGAGCTGGCGAGAGCCTCCGCGCGCGCGTGCTGCTTCTGAATCTCGTCCAGCATTGTAGCCTGCTTTGAGATCGAGTCCTTGCTCTGGTCATTCTGCTCCTGGCCATTTTGGCAGATAGGCCAGGGCGGATATATATTTGACACAAGAGGCCTCTCCGCTGCCCCTGCGGTCCCTCTCTCCCTGTCCTTCCTCCATCATCCCCCTCTCCTCCCCCTCCTCCCCCCTCTCTCCTCTTGCGTCCTCTACTCCTCTACTCCTCCTCCTCCTCCTCCTCCTCCCTCCTCCTCCTCCTCCTCTTCCTCCTCCTCCTCCTCCTCCTCCTCCTCCTCCTCCCCATCCCTCCACCTCTTCCTCCTCTCTCCTCCTCCTCCTCCTCCTCCTCCACTCCTCCTCCCAACTCCTCCTCCTCCTCCTCCTCCTCCTCCCTCCTCCCTCCTCCTCCTCCTCCTCCCTTCTCCTCCTCCCTTCTCCTCCTCCTCCTCCTCCTCCTCAACATCATCAACATCATCATCATCATCATCATCATCATCATCATCATCATCATCATCATCATCATCAGCATCAGCATCATCATCATCAGCATCAGCATCAGCATCAGCATCAACATCAGCATCATCATCATCATCATCATCATCATCATCATCATCATCATCATCATCACCCTCCTCCTCCTTATCCCTCCTCCTCTGCCTCCCTCCCCCCCCCTTTACAGTTACATCCCGCGACTCGAACAACTCGGGACGGGCGCGTGATTGCAATGTTGATCATCTGGAGGCGGGGCCCGGGCCCTCGGGAGTTCCGAAACCAACGATGAGCACCCTTGCGGCAGAGGGTCCCCGTCAGCATGACAGAAGAGGGCAGAGCACCCTCTGCTGTGCTGTGCATGCAGGAAACGATGCAAGAGAACACGCGGGAGGACATACTGGAGAGCACACGGGAGAACGTGCGGGAAAGCTTACCGACCAAAGGGCCCCACATGGAACTCTCTGGGTGCTCATGAGAGTCATCACCACCGACGGCTGACGATGGTGATGATGCCGGAATGCCAGGACATGACCCGCGAGGCTGCTGAGACATGTGGGGCCCGTGGGGCTTTTGAGACTTGAGTGGCTTGCGATAGGTCGGGCATGTCCCCCTTCAGGCGGATTTTGAAGGAAAAATCAAACATACACAAAACATGATCAAGCATAGTCAAAAAAATTTAAAACCAAATAGCACCCTGACTAGTTTTCTGTTTGGGGATATTCCTCCTGTAGAGGGACACGCCAGACTTGAGGCTTGTGGGAAATGTGCGACCCCTGTGAGAGCTGTGCGACCTGCGGGGCCGTGTTCGACCTGTAGAGGCCTGTGGGACCTTTGAAGCCCGTGGGACCTGGGGCACCTGTGGGCCTTGTGGGACCAGTTAGGGGACCACGCGCGAGCCCTGCAGTGCGGGCTAGGCCGCAAGAAGCCCTCGCAAGAAACCCGACCCTGAGAACCCGGGCGCGAGGTGCACCTGAGGGGAAACCTTGAGCACCCTGAACGCGGCAGCTCCTTCAACGGCTGCGGGAAGTCACCGCGCAGCGCGAGGAGCGAAGAAACCCAGGATACCCTTACGAAAAGCACATGGTTTCTTGATGCGCGCCCCCACTGTACCCCTACCCCCCACGATTTCAGGGGAGGCTGGGGTTCACTTCGCTCGGGAGCTCGCGAACAAAGTGAACCCCACCCTCCCTCTTACAAATCGTGGGGGGTAGGGGTAGGGTTCGCATGTGGCCCCCTACCAGTGGGGCCCCTGGAACTTGTGCGACCTGTGGGGCCCATGGGGCCTGTGAGACATGTGGGGTCCGTGAAACCTGTGAGGCATGTTGGGTGTGTTGGACCTGTCGGACCTGAGAGACTGGCCCAGCGTGAAGGGGACGCGTGGAACCTGTGGGGCCTGCGGGGCCTGTAGGACATGTCGTGCATGCGGGACCTGTGGGGCCTGAGGCACCTGGGACCCGTTCGGCGGCGCGCACAAGGGGATGGAGGGAGGAGGGAGGGCTTCGTTGGAAGCTGCTTCTTAGAAGGTGCCGACCCTGTGTCTAGAAATATGGCCCGCGCTTTGAGAAGCCCTCTCCCCTCAACACGCCCCGCTCTGCGCGTGGCTGACCTGTTCGACCTGTGGAACTGGTGGGACCTGTGAGACTTCTGGCGCCTGTCAGACATGTGGGACCTGTGGGGCCGTTCGTTAGACTTGTGCGACCAGTGGGAACCCTGGGCCCTGTGAGTCTGGTTCGGCCCGTCGGCCCTGTCGGAGCTGTGCAACCTGTGCGCCCCGGGCTCCCGCTCGAGACTTCCTCGAGATTCCCTCAAAGACGAGGCTCCCGCTCGAGGCGTCCCCATGATGTTCCCATTTGGAGCGCTGCCATGCGATGCCTGTCACAGAAGGCCGATGACCCGCTGAGACTCGAGTATGGACGCGGGGACCCCATAGGGAGAGGGCTCCCGCTCGAGACGTCCTCGCGATCCACTCACAAACCAGGCTCCCTCTCAAGACGTCCTCAGGATGCAGGCCTGAGGAGCCCAAGCGTGATGACAAGTGCAGGGTTCGGATGACCCCGCTCGGACTCGAATATGGAGGGACCCCACAGGGAGATCACCCCTCGAGACTCCCCGCGATTCACTCACGAACGAGGCTCCCGCTCGAGACTGCCTCGAACTCAGGTCTGAAAAGCCCAAGCGTGGCGACGATGACAGGGTATGGATGACCCCGCTCGGTTTCGAGCGTAGAAGTGGGGACCCATGAGGGGAGGCTCCAGCTCGAGACGTCCTCGCGACTCACTCACAAACCAGTCTCCCACTCGACACTTCATACACATCCAAGTCTGAAGAACCCAAAACAGTGACACTCACAGGTTTTGGATGACCCGCCCGGATTCGATCATGGAACTCGGGACCCTCAGGGAGACGGCTCCCTGTCGGGACTTCCTCGCGAATCACTTACGGACGAGGCTCCCGCTCGAGACTTCCTCAAATGAATGTGAGAGTGAGCGAGTGCGTGAGTGTGCGTGCGTGTGTGTGTGTGTGTGTTTGTGTATGTGCGAGTGTGCGCGATGACGATGACGATGACGATGACGCAATGACGCTGATGATGACGACACTGATGATGATGACGGCGACGATGATGATCATGGTGGTGGTGGCGGTGACAAGGATGAAAATGGTGATGGTTGTGATGATGCTAATGAGGATGCTCATGATGAGCTTGATGATGATGATGAGGATGATAATGATGCTGATACTGATGATGCTGATAAGGTTGTTGATGATGATGGTGATGATGAATGTGATGATGATGATGATGATGATGGTGATGCCGATGTTGCTGATCATGATGATGATGATGATGATGATGATGATGATGATGATGATGGTGGTGATGATGATGATGGTGGTGGTGGTGGTGGTGACGACGACAGATGATTATGATGAAATGGTCATTGTGACGTTGATGATGGTGCGATAGTGATGGCGAGCGTGGAGGGAGGAGAGGGGGGAAAGGGGAGGTCCGTTCCCGCGCGGGGTGCCCAAAGAAAACAAGACCACCCCTTGGCATGTGGAGAACCATCCGAGAGAAGATGCGGAAGCCACACGGGA